TTCTGCAGCTTTATGCTACACCAGCAACTTCAGCATGGCTCAATAGTAATGGGATACCTGCTTCTCCAGTTGCCTGGCCTTCGAAGGAGAACTCGGAATCCACACTTCCTCCAGTCAAACAGTAAGAGATCCAACAAACTGGAAATATTCACAGTTGGGCAAAACTTTCATTATTTTATTTGTATTTATTTTATTTGTTAAATTTCTAGGCCGCCCAATCCCAGAGGACATTAGAACCAGCAGTGAGAGAAAATGACTTGTAAACTTTTGACTTTTTCCCCCCCGAATTCTTCATCAGAGAAATGGGGTCAACATAAATGGGCTTGCATTATCTGATCTGCCCACACCTACTTAGTATCAAATAGTAACCATTGAGCATTCTGAAATATTACCAATTATTATCTTCCTTAGTAAACTTAAGTGGATTCCAGATTCTCCGGAGCATGGAGCTCTGAATCCAATAAACTCTGCAGAAGCCACAACTTTTCCACTTCCTGGCCGTTCTGATGGATCTATCATCCCAGATTAGTTTAAATTAAGATGCTGTTGTCTCTGTAATGGTTACAGATAAGGCACAGTTCTTATGGAGCTGAATATGGCTTAATAAGTTTGACACGTCTCTACTTCACTGCTGTGCTTATGTCTCACACTGTTTGCTTTTAAATTAGAACATCTTGAGTTGGACTATAAGCAGTCAGTTTCAAGGTGCTTTAATGCCTTTGGATCTAGCTTTAGAGTTGAAAAAAATTACCAACTGAGTACAAAGACCTGTATTGATGGAATTCTAAAAAATGCATTTGATTTACTGGAGATAGCTTTATTTGAGTTCTTAATCTCATATATGTTTCCTTTCAGGCTCATAAAGGATGGGAGCATAGACTTGGTAATTAACCTTCCCAACAACAACACCAAGTTTGTGCAGGACAATTACCTGATCCGTAGGGCAGCTGTTGATGGTGGAATCTCTCTCATTACTAATTTACAGGTATTTCTCATAGTCCCATTGAATCTGTTATTGCATCCTACTGAGTAATCCCCTTTCCCCTCTTCCTCCTTTTTT